GTAATTGATTATATCTATCTATCTATCTATCTATCTATCTATCTATACACACACACACACACACAACACACACACACACGACACACACACACACACACACACACACACACAACACACACACACCACACACACACACAACACACACACACACCACACACACACACACACACAACACGCACGCACACAAAAACACAAAGACATACATAAAAACACATTTCCTGCATTTTTTTTTTTTTTCGCAGACTTTTTTTTCATCTATTCATATTTCCATTTTTTTTTCTCTCTCTCATCTCATCTTCCCTCTCTCCCTCCCCCCCTTTACCCTTCCCCTCTTATTATTCCCCTTCGTATTTTCAGCATATCGACCCCCTCCCTCCCCCCCCCCTTCCTTCCTTCCTTCCTTCCTTCCTCCCCCCCCCCATTCCCTTACCCTTTTTTTTCCTACCCTTACCCTCTCCTATCCCCCCCCTCCCCCCCACACCGTGTAGCTGTCCACAGGGAAATCAGAACGAAAGCGGAAATAAATAATAAAAATAAATAAAAAATGAAGTAAGTAAACAAAACTAGAAGAGAGAGAGAAAAAAATAAAGGATCTGAAAAAAAAAAAAAATCGACAATAACAATAACCTTGACAATGGCAAGGGAAAGGAATATATATAAGGATACAATAATACTTGTATAAATATTTCGGTTTTATTCAGTGTTATCTGGAAAGCCTCGGGTTGCAATGGGCACTTGGGTTTAGTGTTGCAAAATTCTGATTCCATTTGCTTCATGTCGTTCTGTTTCTCCCTTTTCTTTTCCCTCCTTTCTCCTTTCTCTTTCTTCCTTTCTCTCTCTATTTTTTTTTTTTATATATATATTTTGGTTTTCTTTCTTTTTTCTTCTCCGTCTGGTTATCTTTCTTTCTTTTTTCTTTTTTTTCTTTACTTTTGCTTGTCGAATTCTCTTTTCGTTAGTTTCTTTTTTAGCTTCTCTCATCCTCTCTCTTTTTTTCTCTCTCCCTTCCTTCCTCTTCTCTCTCTGTCTCGGATTCTGTTTCTGTCTTTCTCTCTCTCTCTCTCTCTCTCTCTCTCTCTCTCTCTCACTCTCTTTTTCTCTTTCTCTTTCTCTCATTCTCTCTCATCCTCTCCTTTTCTCTTTCTCCTCCTTCTCTCTCTCTCTCTCTCTCTCTCTCTCCTCTCTCTCTCTCTCTCTCTCTCTCTCTCTCTCTCTCTCTCTCTCTCTCCCTCTCTCTTTCTCTCTCTCTCTCTCTCTCTCTCTCTCTCTCTCTCTCTCTCTCTCTCTCTCTCTCTCTCTCTCTCTCTCTCTCTCTCTCTCTCTCTCTCTCTCCCTTTCCCTCTCTCTTTCTCTCTCTTCTTCACTCTCTCCTCCTCTCCCTCTCTCTTTCTCATCCTCCCCCCTCTCTCTCTGTCATCCTCTCCCTCGCTCTCCTCCCCCTGTCTCTCTCACATCCTCTCCCTCTGTCTCCTCCCCACCTCTCTCTCTCTCTCTCTCTCTTTGCACCCCCCCCCCCTCTCTCTCTCTCTTTCTCTTTCTCTCTTTCTCTCTCTCTTTTTCTCTCCTTCCCCCTCTCACTCTTACTACTCTCTTTTCCCCCCAACAGTTAAAATTCACCCTTTTTAATGTACGTTCCAGGTAAACAAGTTGGCTATTCTGCTAATAATGTATATACTCATTTTTTTCCGAACTCGTGCTAACAGAATGACGAATAGTTGGTAGCAAAACACGAGATTAAACAACTGTAATAGCAATAGTAATAGCTGTAGTAGCAGTAACAGTACCATGGCATTAGGAATAGCAGTATCATAACTTTTACTACTTCTGGTAGTAACACCTAATAACTCAGGTCATTGCATGATGTTGTGTAATAGAAGATGTGTTTGTTATTAGAACTGTAATTGATTATATCTATCTATCTATCTATCTATCTATCTATCTATCTACACACACACACACACACACACACACACACACACACACACACACACACACACACACACACCAAAATATAACTACAAAACTAAAAAGAAAAGACTAAAGGAGTGAGAGAGATCCAAGGAAATAAAGTCGCACTTACCAGGACAAAAATAAAGAAAGGCGAACAGAAGCTTGAAAAGAAAAAGAAGAAGAAAAGGAGAAAAGAACGAGTCAAAAATGAAAGAAAAAAAAAAAACACGGAAAGAAGGAAACAAAGTGAGAGGGGAGAAGGAGGAGAAAAAGACCTTCCACCGAAAAGCGACCAAGAAAAAGGCAAATGAGAAACTCATCAGGACGCCAGAGTAAACAAGGAGGTGGTAGCAGGAAGAAGAGGAGAGGTGGGGGGCGGGGTGAAAGGAAGAGAGATGAACAAGGAAGAAAAAGTGGTAGATAGAATGGTGGAGGAGGGAGGGAGGGAGGGAAAGAAGGGAGGAAGTGAAGGAAAGAATGGTGGGAAGGAAGGAGGGAGAGAGGAAGGAAGGGAGAGGGTAGGGAGGGTAGAGAGAGAGAGAGAGAAAGAGAGAGAGAGAGAGAGAGAGAGAGAGAGAGAGAGAGAGAGAG